CTTCGCAAGTTCCTGGTGAACAAAAAACCCATCAGGACAGTGCCGCAGGGAAGGAAGAATGCTAACAAATATGAAATGTGTATATTTCAGCTTTGTACTGGTATAATCTTGCAAACTTGGTTGATTTTCTGATGATTTTTCTCTGTAAAATGAATGGAAGTCCTGGAAGCTTTCTGGATCAGCACTGTTCTAAAGTTTGAACAGACTTATGGACCAGGTCCTCCTGTGCAGCACTCAGTACACCTGAGGCAGGGGAAGACACAGGTATGTCTCTGCCCTCCACCCAATCCTAGAGGCTGGTTTGTCTCTCAGTGTAAGGTAGAGATGCCCCAGGGTTGCTGTCACTTGCACCAGCAGAAACAGAGGAGTTATTTAAGTTAAGGGCTAATGTTAGCACAAGAACAAATGGATATAAACTGACCATCAATAAGCTTAGGCTGGAAATTAGATGAAGATTTCAAACCATCAGAGGAGTGAAGTTCTGGAACAGCCTGCCAAGGGGAACAGTGGGGACAAAAAACCTAACTTGTTTCAAGACTGAACTTGAGAAGTTTATGGAGGGGATCGTATGATGAGATTGCCTAAATGGCATATGGCCCAGCCACATCTGCTATTAGCATATATCTCAAATGGCTGGTGTTGGAACACTAGATTGGGAGGGCTCTGAGTTACTACAGAGAATTCTTTCCCAGGTGTCTGGCTGGTGGGTCTTGCTGATGTGCTCAGGGTCTGATTCCCATATTTGGTTTGGCAACAAATTTTCCCCCATGTCAGATTGATAGAGACCCTGGGTAGTGTGTGTGTGTGTGGTGTTTTTTGTTGTTTGTTGCCTTCTTCTGCAGCATGGGACATGGGTCACTTGCTGATTTGAACCAGCATAAATAGTGGATTCTCTGTAACTTGAAGTTTTTAAATCAAGGTTTGAGGACCTCAATAACTCAGCCAGAGGTTATGGGCCAATTGAAGGAGTGGGTGGGTGAGATTCTGTGACCTGCAATGTGCAGGAAGTCAGACTAGATAATCATGATGGTTCCTTCTGGCTTTAAAGTCTGAGTTCCTAACCCAGGATCCACTATTCCAAGATGTCTGGAGTCCAGTATACTCTGGCCACCATCCCATCATGTCCCTTGCAGTGGGTGAGGAAGGCAGGGAGCTAATGGCCTAGAGCTGTCTCTCTGCCAGAAGGGGATTCTCCTATGCAATGAAAATCCGGACCTGCCCCATTAGGGCAGCTTTCCCTTCTGTGCCCCTGGCATAGTAGTTCTTCTGGCACCAAAATCAGATTATCATAATTTATTACTGGCCTTGAAAGCTGTAAAACAAAGCTTGAACATGGGATTTAATCTAATTCTTGTATATGTCTTTCATATGCAAGTAGCCATTGGCTCCCTCCATCCAGGAGTACAGTGAGCATTTATCTTTATTAACACTTAGCATTTTGGAGTGCTGTATGAACATGAACTAATTAAATCATACTTGCACACCACCCTTCTGAGGTAGGCTGGCTTCAATGGAAGCGGGATCAGGCCCTAAATCAATATGTGCAGTTAGAGAGAGAGTGTTGTATTAATGCAAATTGTGATTACCCGTCACCATACGAGATGGCCATAAAAATGTCACCTTTGCCATAGGCATGCTTCTCCCAGGAAATTGTTTCATGCTGTCACATACATGCCATATGCCTGACTGAAAACCCCTCAGCTTGTTGTACTGTAACTGCTGCCTCTCATTTGCATATGTGAACTAAATGGATTTTCCTGCATCTGCCTTTAAACCGGCAAATAAAGCTGTGGTCACATGGGTAACTTGGCCTTGGGCTAAGTTCAAGTGCAGGAGCAGTTAACTACCTGGAACGTGTTCTCTCTTGGGAACACAGGCTCGATCCGGTGGGGTACTGAGGATACTATTGTGAATGGAGAATGCTCAGCAGCTTGTAGGATTGTGCCCTTTTGTGAATGTCTCCTCTTGCAGGTCTTTCTGGTCATGCGGTCTTTCTTTCTGGAATGCTTAGATTTTCATTTCACTTGAGGGACTGGGCCATTGAAAAGCCAGAAGCTTACCCGAAACCAAACCAAACCAAACAGGAGGAAACCAGCCCTAGTATTTATTTGCTTAGAAAGAGTACTGGCTCCTGTTCAGCTTCCTGTCATGAGAGGATACCTTGAGCTAAACTGTTCACCAGCCAGAGATGCAAAATAATGAGGCTTTTATTCTATTGCTGCAATTACCCCAACCCAAAAGCCCCCCCCACTTTCCGTATAAATAATAAACTCTGAACCTACAGCAATAAAAATGATAATTAAAGAAGCTTGGGACAGTAAGTTCAGATGCAGGGATATTGCTCTGGAGCTCATTTACATGAATTATGGCCTAGCCTAGATAAGTTTTATGGTGGAAAGGTGATTAGCAAGTTTATTACCTATAGCTGTTCCAGCAGCATGTTAGAGACTATGGGCAATTCTACATGTAAATGGCTTTCAAAATGTACTAATCTTTTTCTCCCTAGTAATTTCCCTTTGGCAGTTTCCCATTCTGCCTGAGGCATCCCACCCAAACCAGGGCTTTGTGCCTCATGATTTTCAGGGATCTAGCCTGCTGGGGGGAGGAGGACAGGGTTGGGATATTTAATCTCCTACTGATTTGAGAGCAAGGAAAATTGGAGAACACATTGTCTTTCCTGCAGTCCTGTTTAGAAAGGGGAGAGCCCTGGTTGGCATGGTAGTTGTGGAGTCGGTGCATGGTCACTCAAAACCCTCCCGCTGCTTGCATTGCTTGTGCTTAAGGGCAACCCCAATCCCATCCCTACAAAGTCCTATTCTCACAGATGCCCTGCCCTGCACAGAAGCACAACTTTCAGAGAACTGGACATCTATGTAGTGCGGGGTGGCAGCAATCACCTGATCGTCTTCCTGATCAGTCTAGTTCCATCACCTAAAACCCTGCCCCTGTCTCTGGTGAGCCTGAAAGGATGAGAGGGATAATTCATACTCCGTGTCAGTTCCATCCTTGGCTTCTCTGCTGGGCTTTCTAGCACGTGTCATTTAGCTGCAACATGGTGTGTTTTGCAATACAGACACCTGCCCACTGAGACTGCCAGTTCATTTCACATGGACCACTGACCCACCCTCATACATAAACGACTTTAGATTATTACAGAATGGATTCAAACCCATGACCTAGAACTGAAGGGTTCTGTTTCCCACTCCCAGCCCAAGATCTGTGCACTCCCCTTGGCTTTAATTGGTAACTAAATCAAGTTTAGGAGCTAATGCCTTTAAGTTTGTGTTCTTATAAATATATTTACATATCAAATGACAATTTGAATATGTAGCTGTGGCAGTTTTGAACGGATAGCTTATATTGTTGTGCATAGCTAGAGTTTAAAGGGAGCACGACCATCTGCTTAGTACATACACCTCTTTTCTTTAAAGGGGGGAGTCTCTTGTGTAGTAAGCATATAAGGGTATGGCTCTTTAATACACAGAATTTTTTTAATAATAAATTTGGATCCTTGGCAAACTGAACAGCGAGCCAAATTGATCCTTCCCAGAGTCCTCAGGGGGCAGGAAAACTCCATGTGGTTCCTTTCATCAAGTTTCTTGTACAGTAGTTCTTCCATTGAGAGAAGTTTGGATCGTTGTGGAGTTTGCATGGTGTAAGGCCTTGCAAACCCATGGATCCACAGATTTCCTAGATCTGTGAAGGCCGGAACCATCTGCATGGATGGAAGGCCCCTCCAATGTTTTCTCCTCCCCACTGACCACTCCGCTCCAGCTGAAGCTGTGCTACTATTGGCTAGCTCCCCGTTTGACTGCTTAGAAGCAACAGCAAAGCAGGCCTAAGAGTTTATGCAACTCCAAGCTGAAATGATTGCCAGCTGGGTAATGCTAAAGAATTCTAGCTGCTTGTGAGTTTGGTGCTATAGACTAGTCCCTACTCTCTCTTTTTCTTGCCCCCTCTGCCAAACTCCATGGAGCTCCTCATGGAGCGCAGCCCTGGGAAATGATATCTACCAGCTTCCAAGTGGTGGTGGTGGGATTATGGTGCCATGGAGGTGACCCTCACTTCTTATGCCTCACCTTTCAGAAGTGGTGTGCCGAGTCTTCATTTATTCACTCTAATTTAAGGTTTCACGTGCCAGTAATACATTTTAACATTTTTAGAAGGTCTCTTTCTATAAGTCTATAATATATAACTAAACTATTGTTGTATGTAAAGTAAATAAGGTTTTTAAGAAGCTTCATTTAAAATTAAATTAAAATGCAGAGACCCCCGGACCGGTGGCCAGGACCCAGGGTGTGAGTGCCACTGAAAATCAGCTCATGTGCCGCCTTCGGCACGCGTGTCATAGGTTGCCTACCCCTGCTATAATAGAAGTCTGCTTTAAGACCACACCCCATTAGGCATATGCCTGGAGGTGCTGCTCTAGTCCTTTGTTGTTGGGTATTTTTTTCTATATATACATGGCATTCTCCCAGGGATATAGCCGAAAGTCTGCTTTCCTTTGCGGATGTACTTTTCTAATTTAAATAGGTTGACTTGCCCCTAGAATATTTGGTATACAACCAGCTTGTGCATGGATATGATCACCTACTGTAAGTATGTATTCATGCCAAAAATATCAATGCAGTGCCTGGGTGTCTTAAATTTTTACCAAAAATGCCACTTCAGTGCATCATGGTTTTTATGGTGAATCTTAACGATGCCTTGACAGTGGAAAAATCAAATAATTGACCAAACCATACTCTTAATTTGTACTCAAGTCAACAGAAGAATTAGTCTGTAGAGAGGAAGACTCTGTGAAGTTTTGTTCATTATTCCTCCTCTTTTGAACTGTGAAAGAAAATATTTTAGTTTGTTTTCACATGTCAGTGCAGTGACTCTGTGTGACATTGACAATAGCATAGCTTTTCCTTCACCGGGGCATTAAATAGGATCTAATGGATAATTAACCAGACTTTCAGAGACTGCTATAGTTTGTCTACCCAGACAGAGAAATACTTTTGGTTCTATTAAGCATTCAATCAGATACCAAACTGGAATAGGCCATGCAAACTGCTGAATAAGCTTTTGAGAATGTACCTGGTCTACAGGAAAAGTGCAGCTTTAAGCTGGTCTGATATTTCAGATCATAAATTGAGCCAAGAGCATGTGAAGTTTGATCAAGCTTTAGTATATTGGATGTGCTGTTGCTTGGACATTGTTTATCAGATGTTGCCTACTCGAGAAAGAGAGGACTGCAAACAACATGGGAACACTCTAACAGATTAATAGGAAACTTAAGTGGAATGTCAAATACCATGTGAGGCTTGGTTTGGATAGCACTGGTTCCTGCTAGATCACTTCAGAGCCGAAAAGGTAAGTTACGTCACTCCTTATCAACTAAAGACTTTTTCAATGTACCCAAACAAGCACCTGGCCTGCAATTTTAGTCCTGCAATCACTCCAATCGACAGTTCTTTATTGAGAACAGTTAAGGCTTGAGGCAGAGTAATTGTTCACAAATAGCAGAAGCTTCGAGATCGAAAATAGTACCCACCCACTGAGTATAAACATGGTAAATACAGTGAGTGTGGCAGGAAGAATCTAGACTAATTAAATGTGTGATTGCGTGGAGGGAGGGGGAAATCTATTGAAACTGTGCATACAAACGAATCAAAATACACAGGATCAGTGTAATCAATGGCCTAACTTTTAGAGGAGCCAAGCTCCCTCGATTCCCACTGAAGTCAAGGGGAGTTCAGAGAGGCTCAGTGCTCTAAAAATCAGAAGTTAGGTAGGTGCCTAAATATGGATACAGTTGCCTAACTGTAGGGAGCAACAGAGGGTCTAACACGGCTACCCCTCTGATACCTAACTGTAGGGCTATATCCCTACATTGAGAAATGTTTATATGGGATGCAGGGCATTCCTGCACCACAGCAGTGTCTTTCTTTATGGGACTCTGGTATTGAGAGACTGAGAATCAGTCTTGCAAATGGAGTTACAAGTGCAAAGCAAATATGTGTCTTTGGTGAGCTGAACACAATCAAAATTAGAGCTGGTTTGTTGGACTGAAAATGCCTACTCCTCGAAGGTGCTGAGTATCTGCAACTCCTATGCTTCAGTGGCCCTTCTAGGAATCTAGCACCTTAGAAAATTCGGTTATGTATGCCTATAGGCAAAATGCTCCAGTGGTTAAAGAACTGTAGCTTGGGGTGTCCCACAAGTCTTTATTATTCTATCTAGATTTAAGGGCAGGAACCTTGTTTCCAGGACATTATTTGTTAAAGTGCTTAGCATAATGTTTGATGTTTGTATTACTGCTAATACTTAGCACTCTCCCATATGAGTCCTATGATTTGTGGGCATGGAGAAATGAGCAGCTTCCACAGGCTGGTGGTAATAATGCCTAGCTCTTATACATGTTTTTTCAGCCATAGACCTCAAAGTGCTTTACAAAGTCGGTAAATATCATGTATCCCCATTTTACAGATGAGGAAACTGAAGCACGGAGTGGCCAATTGACTCTCTTCATCTGTAATCATATGTGAAGTTGACATCCATGTATGAAATAGTAGAACCATGTACAAAGTTAATTTACAAGAGCTTTGACTTTCTCCCTTGTCCCTGTCCAGTAATTCATCCCCCCAGGACATAGTCTAAGATTAAAAACTACCATGATTTAAAAAGAAAAAATAAACTCAACAGAAAAATGTTTCCTCCTTTCCCCTCCAGATGTATAATTCTCCCTTTCTAGGTGAAGCATATGCATATTGTTGGTATGACGATTGCTGCAGCACAACTAATCACTAGAAATGCTGGTTTGTTTCTCTCTCTATTATTCAGCATCTGGCTATTGCTAAGGTTGTGAGGGAAGGCTGGAAAGCTTGTCGTTAACTCTTCCACGTGTTCCTGAAGTATTTTTCTAAAGCAGCTTAGCAGTGTGCGGTGAGCTCTCATTTCCTAATGTCATCAGTTAAGAGAGTGTGTCGGGGGATCATTTTAAAGTCATATTACTTTGCCTGGCTGCATTATCTGTGATCGGAGACTGTAATTCCTTGAGAGAGACCGATGCAAAGTGATACACTGCTCCTTCCACAGTACACATCAAACAAAATGCAATAAGGGAAATAGGCTCCCAAGTAGTCATTCTAGTTAATAATACTTCATTCCTGGCTACTAAGTTAGCCCGAGCTCGTGGATAGCCTTTGACTGGAAGGTCGGAGCAGTCTGGTCAGCGATTATCTTTTAGAATCAGAAAGTGGATTCTGCCATCGGAGAGGCAGGAAAGGACTTGTGGGCAGAACAATTGTTTTAGTAATTATTGCTGGTGCTAAAACCATGGGTTCAGAGCTAAAGGTCTCTGCAAGGCATCCAAATTTGTCCAGCTGCTCTTGTGTGAAACTTAATATTTTTTTGCCCTTTAATATGGCCTTAATTTTCCCTTAAATCATCCTTTCTTAAGACTCATGAAAATAAAGCTTACCAATCCTCTGAGCCGTTCTGTTGGCTCAGTTCATTTTTATGTGAGTAAAAATAAATAAATAAACAAACCAATGAACAGAGAGTCCATTTGCAAAGGAATTTGGTGGCAGTGCTGCTGGAATGCATCTTCCACAATATTTGTTGTTTATGAAAAACAGACAAGGAAACAAGAGGTTGCAGCTTCACCTGGCTTTTCTTCAGCTTATCTGTTGTTCTCCCACATGTTCAATCTTTGTTTGCATTGTGGAGCTCGCCCACTCTGGTGGGAGAGTGGGACAGAAGAGTGAGGAGAAATTTATTATCCTTCTAATGCCCTGTTTCCTGTAATGAATAGGACACCAAAAGAATGAAAGCATTTGCCTATATGACTAAAATAAATAATGGCCAACATTCCTTAAACCTGTTTGAGACGTGAAAGCCAAATTTGGATTCCGGTCCGAATCAAAACTTCTGAGAGTCTGTTGAAGGATAGGGAGAGGAACTAGCTGAAGTTTGTGAGAAGGTGGATCTGATGTTCTGACTTAGTGGAGTCACTCCTAATTTACACATGTGAGACCAGAATCTGGCCCTGAGCTCTTTGTGACTTGGCCAAATAATAATAATTACTTATTTGTATTACCATAGTGCCTAGGAGCCCTAGTCATGACCCAGGACCCCATTGTGCTGGGTGCTGTACAAACACAGAACAAAAAGACAGCCCCTGCTCCAAGAAGCTTACAGCCTAAGACGAGACTATAGATGGATACAGACAGACAGATGAGTACAAGGAAACGGTGAGACGATGTTGGGCAGCATAATAGGCAGTGGTCTTTGCATGTGAGCAGCCTAACTGTTGTCCGGTTTTTGTAGGCCTCATGGCAAAGGAGGGATTTGAAGGAGGATAATGAGGTAGATTTGCAGATGTTTATGGGGAGCTCCTCCCAAGTATGAGGGACAGCATGGGAGAAAGCACAAAGTTGCTTGATTGAAAATTTAACAAGTGGAGAGTAGGCCGATCGGCGGTGAGCACTGACAGCTCGATACCCAGTGAGATGATAGAGTGAGGACTGACAGTGAAGAGCCTCGAAAGTGAAGACAAGCAGTTTATTCGATGCAATAGAGAGGTGGGGGTCACTGGTGGGATGCAAAGAGAAGGATGACATGATCAAAGCGATGGGCTAGGAAAATGATCTTTGAAGTAGCTGAATGGATACGAGTGGGGCAAGATCGCCTTTGTCAAGGCCAGAGAGAAAGCCATTGCAGTAATCAAGATGGGAGTTCACAGACTCAGCAGCATGTCTTTTGCTAAAGCCTGGTTATTTTTTAAATATTTTTTAGCTGTTTTGGAATTCACAAAATACCCAGAGACCCAAAAATGAGATTATAATATCTACAAACTGGACATGAAAAGCATCATCAGACACCCTCCTCCCCTGCAATGGGCAGTGGGTGACTTTGCAAAGTATTTCTATTCCCCCCCCCCCAAAAAAAAATCGGTGGCCAATGATTGTGCGGAATTGGGGGATGTGGGGGGTGAAGCTGTATTTTCTTGTAAATGCTGCTGTTCCTTCTCAAAGCTTTCAGCACATCTGTGTTACCTAGAAAATTAAGATTTTTGTGATTTCTTTCCATGCTTAAACAATGGGCCCTGTTCTGCTTTCCGTTATGTGGTTTCAGCACAGCACCTGTATGATTGAGAGCAGAATGTGGCCCATTCTTCTGACTTATGTAACTTACAATAAACCCTCTGCTTACATTTAAAACATTGGGTACAGCCTCTACCTTAGTGGCACAATCTCTTTTGACCTTCTTTCAATCTCAGCACAGCAAGCTTTGTTGCTGTTGTTGGCTCCAGTTCTGACCGACCACAGCTGGGACTCACTAGGACGGAGTCATTATCTTTGTTACCAGCATTTACATAACTCAAATAATACTTCGGAAGTGCCTTTTTAACCCTCCTTCCCTTAATACAAAAGAGAGCACAGCTCCAAATATTCACTCAACAAATGATAAACTGCTTCAGAGAGGCAAAAGGACACTCTACCCACAACAGTTAGAGAACTTTTGTATGGGTGGAGGTATGCATGCCAAATTACACCTCTCCTGTACCCCATGCATTTTCACTTGAAATAGGTCTTGATTCTGCACATTTCTGAGTACAATGTACATGTTTGAGTGCTCTGCTAGCCTGGGCTAGGTTACTCGGTACCTTGTAAAGCTAAGAAGAAGAAGGCTTGTGCATGTTACTGGAAATGACTAGCACTCATGGCTGTGGCCAGCAGGGGCCGAGTCTTGCTGCACTGACTGACTAATGACAGCTCCGTATTAAACTGATAACTTATGGACTGAGGTGAGGCTTTAAGCTGCAGTCCTTAGTCAGGGTTGCGGTGCCACTGCGCTGCCCAGCAGGAATTCCAGGAGACATAATGCCTCTAGAAGGACAGGGAGTCATGACCAACCCTATAGACTTTGGCTGCTTCTGCATCAATACTGAGAATTTTAGGGACAACTCTATCTGTGCTAAGCAATCATGAGGATGCTAGTGCAGAGTGGCTGTAGCAGTATTGTCATGTCATCTAACACTGCTCAGGTCTAGGCAATGTGGTGACTAAAACACCACCAGCTAGTCTACATTAGAGACTCCTACTGTTACTAGTAACTGATGGAGCTGCACTGGTGCTGCAGCAAAAGTGGAAGATGTCCCTAGAATTATCCATGTAGATAAAACCATAGGAAAAATGCAGCATTGAAACCTTTTTGTGTGGGGCCAGTTCCACTGCTGTGTATGAGGGCGGGGGAAGGGTATAACCTTGCTCTTGTTTGGAGCCAGTAGCCTGGAGCAGTACTTGTACTCCTTGAGTGCAGGGTTTGGGGGGTTGGAAGGCATCTGTTCAAGAACACAAGGAAGGGAA